ACAGAATCGAAGTATAGAAAATTTATAATCTTAGATTGAAAATGAGAAAAAATTGGTATAGTAAAAACTAGGGAATGTAATACCGATGGAAAATTTCAATACCTGTATTTCGGTAATTTTTCATTTTAAAACCGGAATACCGGTAAATTACCGGTATTTTTTATTATCTTATACAAACGTAAACAAAATTGAAAGTTACTAGTACAAATATAAAAATATGTATATACAACTACAACTATATTCAACTAAACAATAAAAACAATAAAATAAAACAACAAGTTTATTTTTTTTAAATAAAAATTTAACAAAAGTATATGCAATTTAATTAATTCATTATCACTATCGAGTATATTGAGTACTTACCACCAAAAACAAACTTATGAGTAAAAAAGACCAAAAACTCGTGAAAGATCATATTACATTATTATAATAAACTGTATTGTCTGTATCCGATGTGTTGAATTAGCATAATCTCCAATATTAAAAAAAAAAGATTTTTTACACTAATTTAAGATCGGATACTTTGTCAAGATAAATAATAAGGTATTATAATTGTTGAGTATTATTATTATATATTATTATTATTATTATATATAGTATTTTCAAACTTGGAAACGTTTTCGAAAAATAATATTTTATAATTGTAATAAGACGCAAAAATATTTAGTAATTATCGTAATTATTATGTATAAAGTTAGAAAAAAATAAAGATTACGCAGAGGTAATCTGCATGATTTAAAATATTTTGACGCAAATATTACTTAAAAAACCGTTACATTTTTACATAAGATGAAACAAACATATATCTATCAGTAGAATTCTATTTATTGTAACACGATATGAAGCCCTTAATAAAGCAATAAATATTAAAGTTTAATGACGAGTTGAAATAATATTTGACAGTTGTTTATCCTATAGAATCACTTGAAGATATAGCTGTTTATGCGATTATGGAATTTAAAGATACATTTGTTCCGAGAAACTTAAACTTAAGTGTATTTTGTATCAAATAGCGCTTATGTAAAAATACCGAAAATATCGGCACTTTTGGAGTAAATACCGGTAAAATTACCGCCGAAAAATCGGGCGGTTTACCGGTAATTCGGTATACCGGTATACCGGTATTGTATTCCCTAGTAAAAACGATTATCAATTATTTAAAATTCTTGTTGCTCCACTCTTCTTTTTTATGTGCAGGCTATATATGGAATGATAATTATATATGTTGCTGCAATGCCTGCGAAAAGCCGTTTTTACTTGAGATTATACTTCAGATCTATAATCTTTCAAGTGAAAATATGATATCATACTGCTTGATATTGAGCAGCGAGAGGTTGGGATTGAAACCGAAATTGGTGTTTGCTAGTCCGCGTTCTTCGGTTTTATTTACGTTAATAAATTTTATTATGTAATATAAAGAATACGATTTGAACTTTTCCGCGCGTTTCAGCACTGTATGAAGTAATGTGGTGTGGGTTCAGCCAGTAATGAATGTCATCACTTTCGCTTTTCCTAGCGCATAGCAGGATATTTTTGTCGGCGCGGCGTTCGCTTTTCCTCCCATAGTTGTTCAAACTTTAGATCTTTAAAGCTTTATAATTGCGAATTCATAATTGCGAAGAGATAAAATGTTATTGTAACAACGACTTTTCAAAACAAAATTGTCTATTTTTAACTTTCCGTAGGGTAAATTATAGTAATTGTTCAAAAATCGAAAATGATTTTGTTTGCATATCTTTACGTTTTAATAGTTTCTGAACATTTTGGCGTGCCTTCAAAATAATGGATGTATGTGTATGTAGTATCTATGAATACAAATTTTTGTCGACGTTTTCGGGAGCACGGATCAACCGAATCTAATGATTCAAAAAACATTTGATTTGTATTGACTGAGAAACGTGCCGATTAATTTTCGACAAAGTAGGTTCAGCCGTTTCGGAGATGCGAAGCAAAACGTGCATAAAATAGCAGTTTTTGAGAGAATGGAAAGTCCGATTTGAATGATTTAAAAAATATTTTGCTTGTGTTGACAGTGTGAAGGAATGATCGTTTTTGGGAGAAGCATAATTTTTTTTATAAATTTCATTAAAGATTTCATTTTTAATTTCAAAAAATTATTAAAATTTGAATTTTAATTTTAGCTAAAATTTTAAACCTCACTTATCTACTTGAAATAAATAATTTAAACTTTTCAGTTCAAATAATATAATATTAAGAAATCTTATATATAAAAATGGAGCTCTCTTTCAAATGTCTTAGTAAAACTCGAAAACGGCTAAACCGATTTGGCCAGTCTTAGTCTTTAAAAATTCGTGCCAATCCAGAGATGGTCGATTTTGATATTTCAAAATCGCGTAGAAATTTTACATTTTTTATTTGAAAATTTTTGTATAAGCGTCATTTAAATAAAACAATGGACGGTGGCTAATACGTGAAATGTCAAACGTTTCTGACAGATGATGTTCAATTACGTTTAATAGGATGTTTTACGTAAATATTATTTAATTATGATTGAATTGTAGTAAGTAGTTTTTGTTTGTAGTTTTATTTATTTACAAAAACGTTAGTAAACGGGCCGCAAGTGTTACTAGAGACTCAAAACATCAACTTTTTCGAAATGTTAATATGAAAAATGCACCTTTGGTATATTTTTCTCAAATACGGTGTAATTATATACTCATTGGTATTTATAAAACATTTTCTAGGTTATGTTATTTTTTATTCATATTATTTAAATTTAGAACCAAAATTTGGTATTGATCAAAGGGACAGTTGTGTCAAAAACAACTAAAAGTTAAGCATTGTTTAACAACAATATTTGAAAGTAGAGGGAAAAAGATGTATAACCAGCTATAACTTTGATTCTTATGACTTTGCTATCGGGGGATAAATGTGTAATCTTTGAAAATCCATAATAAAAGTATTTTTTTCTGTTGGTAATTTTTTAGCATTAGTTAAAAATGTATACAGTATTTATAATAGTATATTTCAAAACATTAAAAGTAATTGTTATTAATCATAAATCATTTTTTGTTGATTATTGATCACTTTTAATCCGCGAATATGTAATTATGATACGAGAAGGTTCCAGAAATTTGCCTTAAGACACAATGCCATGCACCTTTAATTAATAATATTTTTAATAAGCTTTATTCACTTAACTACCCTAGGTAAAAACTAAATAGACAATTATAATACATTATAAATAAATATGTTAAAATAAACTATATATATATATATATATATATATATAAAATTATAATCATTTATTTTAAAACATATTTGGCCTATTGAAACTAATTAGTTTTTAGAATCTCTGCTTTATTACTATCACCCCCTCTATACACATTATACATATACGTATTGCCTTGTTTTACGTGCCAACATATATATATATATATATATATATATATATATATATATATAATGTGTATATGTATAAATTCCATATACGCGTTTACTACTAAGGGGGTTATATATGATCCCCTACAGTTCAATGGTACCATCTCACATGAGAACAACGTATAAAACAAATCATACTATGTGCTATAACTACAAGTTAGTGATAATATATTTTCAACAGTTTATAGTGTTTTTGAAACAAAAGTAGGATTGTGAATAGAAAACTAGCCTTGAACTTATATCGAAAAGAATTTTCCTAGAATGTTTGCACAACATCTAGGTGTGGTGAGTAAGGAAAGCTTTATTCGGTTGTATGTGGAATTAAATACATGTGTTCGGTGTATGGCATTTGCAGGTGTATTGGCGAGAGTGAAAGCTCGTTGACCCTGAGTTTTGAGCTTTAAGCTGAATTAGTAAAGAACAGAATACGCGAAAAGTTTTGTTGTACATATTATTTTGGAGAGAAGGAATTTTTTGAGGTTTCTTTTTGAACCGCAATTCAAATTTAAATCCGATTTATTTTTACCAAAATATAAATTTAGTTTAACGATATGCTTTATAAAGTTTTTTCAAATTAACTTATAACATTTTTTTTAAACGTAATTGTGATTTTTTTAAATAATCAAAAAGCTTTTAAACAATTCTTGATGTTATCATGATGAAAAAAATAATAATTTTTATTTTGCACTTTCATTATGCTTATATTGCACATTTGTTATGAATTTGATGATGATTTCTTCAGTTCTAATATAATATATAGTTTCATAAAACCTTATGACTTATTCCAACGTTGTAAATCATTCTGAAACAACAACGTTTCCATAACAATATTTCATGTAGATACTAATCGATTACTCTGATTCATGCTTAACAGTCATCCCTTCGATAACGCGGACCGTGTGATATGGAAACCGTGTTATAAAAAACTCGGATTTAACGTACAATTCAAGCTAATTCGTATGGCGTTCTATGAAAACTGGCTATCGCGTTGTATATGAATCGTGCTAAATGAAACACACAGTTTGTACAAATCGCATTGTATGGGAATTATTGAATTGAAGGGTTGATACAAAGATATGATAAATTTTAAATAATGTTTTAAAGAAGAGATAAAAATTATAAAATATTTTTATTGAATTGATGAATTTATATAAGTATATAATTCGAAGAATGAAACAAAAACTAAACTAAAACTGTATCCCAACAAAAATATTTTCAAGTAATTTTTTTTTAGAAAACCATTAAAATGTGCTTTGATACTACTAGAACCGATGTCGTACACAGCTTTTGTATAACCTAGCATGTATATAAATATATTGTAGAAGATAAAAGTCGATATCTTGTTTAATAACTATCCATAGCTATATCCAGAGCTATCCATAGGTTGCGTGGAAGGATCTTAGGATCTTGAACAAAAAACCGTGTTATAGGAGTACCGTGTAATTCGCTATTTCAGCTCCTTAGTATGGAAACCGCGTTCCCAAAGTACCGCATTATCGGAGGGTTGACTGTAGTATAACTTCAACATATTGCCTTTTATAATGTTACTTGTAACAATTCAATACTAAATATTAATATGTGTCCTTGTCTCCTATCAGGATGGTACTGTGAACATGGACAAAATGTCAGCTGCTCAAAAAACTGCATATTTAGAAGCTCATTTAGCCGTACAACAGCACATGGCTCAAGCAGCCCACAGACTGCACCAACAACAGTCACAAAATGGCATGCATCAACAGCAACATCAGCAACAAAATCATCATCAACAGCAACAAGGAAAAGATCAACAGCATTCTCCGCCTAGTACAACGGTTGTCAGTTCCTCACAACACTATTCCAGCACTACTACTAAGGTAGAAAAAATACCTTTAGTTGATAAGTTTGTTCATTCACGATGGATATATGGCATATGCTAAAATTTATTAGTCATGAGTCATTACTTTTTTTCAATATATAAAATTGTTATATGCCGGTCATAAAATACTGACTAAAATGCCGCGAATCAATCATTAATATAGTGTATTTTTGGAATACATATCATACGAAAATCAACTATCGTTGCTGATGTGTATATGCTCTTTGTATTTAAATATTAATTTTCATTATTTTCAGATAAATTCAACTTCTGGAAACGGAAATGCTGATAGTACGTTTACCGTACCAGATGATGTTGGCATGGGATATGAAGGTGGAGTTCGTGTTCTTCAGAGCTTGGGAAACTGGTAATTTCGATAAATATTAACACACTTTCATTTTTATCACGAATAATTGATATATTTTCCGTATCAAAATAATTCTAGGACACCAGAAATGCATTGCAACATACCGAGGCCAAATTTGATACCATTTACAGAACCATACCAAGAAGGTGGATCAATGCATCCAGCCAGTCGTCTCAAAGCACTGCAGCAAGCAACTTCTGGTTCAAGGAAAACTACTTCGAAAAACACGAATTCTGGCGAAACAAGTGAGTTTTGGGAATACATTTTTTTTATCAAGCATCCAGTTATTTAAAAGAAAAATTAATTTGTGTGTCATTTAAGATATGGAGTTAATTCCTAAGTTTGTTTCACATGATTCAATATGGTTGTTGGTTATATTTACATTTAATCTAACTCTATGGTTAAGTTTTACTGTATGGTTTTTGTGGTGATTCAATTTGTGTGATGATCCATTGAAGAATAGTATTTTTTTTTTTGAATACGACTTAGTTTTTTCCAATAAATAGGTGAATGGATTGTTAAAAAAACTAATTTTTGTTAATAATAAATTATATTATATACATTAGTTAAAGAATATTATCAATGATTATTATTTTCTTTGATTTCAAAAAAGTTTCTTTAACATATTCTAAGGATTATAATAAGGATTTAAATTATAAAATTATCAATTATTAATATATATATATATATATATATATATATATATATATAATAATAATTTATAATTTAGATTTAGGCAATTCTTAGGTATGATATCAGTATTATGAATTAATAAATTCTTGATTTTTATATATTATTAAATTTATTTCAGCTAATAAAGCTTTCGAATGCTCTGTCTGTGGTAAAGGATTGGCGAGGAAAGATAAATTGACTATTCATATGCGAATTCATACTGGTAATAAACTGTGCAATTTATAAAAGTAATAACTATATTTTATATATCTTTTATATGAAATATGCATTTCATTTCAGGTGAAAAACCATACGTGTGCGAGGTTTGTCAAAAAGCGTTTGCTCGTCGCGATAAGCTAGTCATCCACATGAATAAATTCAAACATTTAACTCCGTCTAATATTGCGCCCTTGGGAAAAAGAAATCCTGTACAAAAAGGTATTTTTATAAATTAGTTAATAAGTTAATTAGTGTAGATTTTCTCGCAAGGTTGCTGCCTTGTTCCAATTTTACAATGAACTCAGTTCTGATGGACTAGTATTAAAATCTATTTTTGGCTCTCAAACTTTGAGCAAATAGACTCAAACAATTAAAAAAAAAATTGATTACTCATTTTTCTTACCGTGATTTTTTCTACTTTATTTTATCAAAAAAATATTAAAATATTAAATATATTAAATAAATTTATTTTGTTACTTTATCTTTTCAAGTGGAAAAAATCGAGAAAATTCAAACTGATAACGCCGACAAAATCAACGAGTTATCTGTTCAGAATACAAATCAGCAACTACAGCAACAACAAACGCAATCTCAGTCAGTCCAGGATCATCAACAACAAAATCAACAGCATGTAACAACTTCTCAACAACAATTGAATTGGTCCTGTGAATTATGTGGAAGAATGTTTTCTACGAGAGACGAATGGACATTGCATGCCAAAAGTCATTTGGAAGATAAAATGCTGTTACAAAACCAACCAAACCAAGTCTTAAATCATAACCATTCTATTAATCTTAATACTAATTCAGTTGTCACTAATAATTTGACTCATAATAATACTTTGGTGCAGTCAAGCAATGCAGCGGCATATTTTCCACCACATAATAACTTGATGTCCCATTATAATATGGGAGAGAGACATTTCTGTCTGATGTGTCGACAAGATTTTACCAACAAAACTGAATTCATGTTGCATGTACGTGGACATTTCGAAGGTAAAGTTACAGATTTGACTGCAGCTGACATGCTTGCTAGAAGTTTAATGGATAATTCTGGATTATGTACATAATCTGTAATTTAACCAAAGTGTTATTTTATTTATCAAGTTTTTATATTTTTATTCTGATTACACAGGAGAAATTATATTTTAAATACTGAAAGGCCCGTTCGTTCGCACATTGTTTTAAATGTCGAGTATCTTATAATCTGTGCAACTTGGTTAAATTTTGTAGTTATAGTTGATGTGACAGAAACCCAAAAAATCGTAATATTAAGTGTAAAGCTTCAATGCTTAATGTATTTACTTTCCATGTTTGTTAAAGCTAGACTATTGTGTTATTATAAGTTAACTGATGATTTATATAATCATAAGCTCATATCAAAACTGCCATATTTACGATATACATTTATTGCCATTTATATTAGAATAATAAATAATTAGTTAGAGTAGGATATGATTATTATATTAATCTAATTATAAGAATATTTTATTCCCATAATTAATATCAATACTTCATAAATTTACCATATTAATTATTTTAGATATCGAGACTGATATTAAAGCTATTATTATTTATTCCGTGCATGTATTTTATGTAATATGAAATTTTATCAGTTCATAAATTACACGCCAATATATACTACAATATCAAAATTAAGTTATATTGTTCACAAAGGATTGGACTGTTGGAAATATTTTGGTCTAATCGCTATTTTTAACTTTAAGCAGTTTTGATAAATAGTTTGAGATTTTGTTAAACATGTGATATTTTTCAATCTCATTAATTTTACATATTAATGAAAGAAATCTTAGTTTGTTCATAAGTTTTTTGTGTCTACTAAGATTTAAAGAATCTTCTAAATGCAAAGAGATGTCATCTGTTTCTTCTCGTTAGCTTGTTTATGAAGCATTAATGTTAATAATTTATTTTCCTTATAATTTTTAAATCAAATTTGATGAATTACTTGAATAATTATGTTTTGAAAAAGATTGCATAATTTTGTTCAACATTTTTAGTGGCTTAAAGTTGATGTGCGATCTATTCTCTCTCTAAAAGCTCATTGAATGTAAATATTTTTTATTTGAAGATTTATTTCTTTCTTGATTCTAATTGAAGTGCACAAAATTCAGTGCATGGAAAATCTAATCAAATTTCAGTGCAATGGTTTCATTATGATATGTGTATTCAATTTGCAAAGCATATTGGTTACATTAAATTTTAGTCATTTTCTATTTTGTGATGTACAATTTTAATATAAAGTATTATTGTTGTGGACTATATTTGATTGTAGTTCTTTTCAACTTGCTCCTCGTATTTTTATAAGCAATACAATGTAATCTATTAAAAATAAATAATAGACATCGTAATCTATATAAAGCATCCTTTTATTTAATCTCCCATGGTAGAGAATATTAAAGATTTTGTTAAAAATTATTTTTTGCTGATTATTCTTACTAATATTTTGTGCATGAACATACCTTCTAACCATTCTAACATAAGCATATACCAGGAAAATGACAAACAAAAACAAAAGTTGACTCACAAGACTTGCCCGAATCAGTGAGATCTTTGGGACGTTTTGCTCATATTTAGTAAATTTTTATTTAGCAATTATTTTTTTCAATTTTCCGATTTTTTAATACAATTTTTTACAAGTTTTCGCGATTTTAAAAAAATAAACAAACTAAACTATAACAACTTAGCTCAAAACTAAAATAAAAATTGTAATAATTTGATATGTGCATGTGTCTATATAAATTTCTTGAGATTTTTTCATTTTCTTACGTCGCAGTCGTAATTCATTACATATTCATTTTTTTTAAATCACTTTTTGTAGGCCTACAATATTTAACTATGCAAAGTTTCATTAAATAGAAAATTACGAAAAAAAAGACAGTCCGGCTGATCTCTACTAATACCTAACTTTCGAACCATATTTGGATTTTCAAAACAGTTAAGGATTTTCAACGAAAACTTGGGCGCAAAATTTTGCGCTTATCTGATGATTAAAAAAAGACGGCTGAGTGATCATCGTGAAAAACGCAAATCGAGGCAAGTCTTTATCTTTATCAAGTCTCATCGAATGGCTTTTAAATTGTCGTAATTGTCGTTTAAATTGCTGGTTTTAAGAAAACGCCGATGAAAAGCCAAATTTTGCCATACACACACATACTGTCCTTAATTATATAATGTCGAACAATTCAGAATGACTCGAAATATTAAGGAAACATAAAATTAACAGATCCGATTTTGCCGAAAACAAATCCAAAATAGTCGAAAAGTTAATAAAGCACACTTTGCTGTTAAGTTATTTAAGATATGAAAAACTAGTGGTGCGCATGGCATCTTGCCCCACGTACCAAAAATTATTTTTTTTAAAAAAGATTATCATCTTTCAAGAAATTTTACTTTGAAAAAATTAGATTTTTGAGAAACATAAATTTTTGACAAAAATTTACTTTTTAGAAAAAAAAAATTGTTGAAATGTTTTCTTTATTTTGAAATATTTTAGAAAATTTGAACTTTTTTCAAAGCAATCGTACTGCTTTTATCTGCATAGAGATCAAATATCGAAGAGCGTAAGCGTCGCGTTTAAACAAAATTTATACTTATTGTTAAAATCTCTATAAAATATTTGATAATTTTATGCGCATATGTCTAATAGACATAATGATTATTTTTGATCGCCAAATGGCGATTTTTTTACTTTTTTCACTAGATCTACGAAACCGCTAGACCTGCCTTCATGAAAATTTAATCAGTTCTTGTCAATACAAGTAAAATATTTTTTGAATTATTAAAATCGGACGCTCCGTTCTCTTAAAACTGAGTTACCGTTTGTGGCACTTTTTTCCCCTTTATCTTCGAAACGTCTAGGCCCAAAACTATTCAGCACGTCTCCTTATCAAGAGCAATGTTTTTTGAATAATTGAAATCGGTTGGACCGTGTTCTCGAAATCGTCGATGAAAATTTGTATCCGCACACACACACACACACACACACACAAACATCCAATATTTCTGAGGTATGCCAAAATGATCAGAAGGTTTTGAATCGTAAAGATTACAAAAATTTTCATTTTCGATTTATTGCGAATACTATAACTTACCCTACGGGAAGTTAATTATTCATGTAAAAGTAATGTGTAAAAATATTTAAAATTAATTTTAATATCAATATTCAAATTTAATGATCATATAATATTTTTATTAACTTCCCGTAGGGTAAGTTATTGAAATGGGCCGAAAATCGAAATTGAAAATTTTTACATTTCTCGACGTTTTGAAAGTTTCTGAACATTTTGGCATACCTCAGAAAAAATGGATGTGTGTGTGTGTGTAATTATGTATGGATACAAATTTCCAGTCACGTTTTCGGGCGCACGGATCAACCGATTTGAATGGTTCAAAAAACATTCGATTCCTATCGATAGGCAGAAGAGTTTTTGAGTGAACCGAGCATCCGATTTGAATGATCTAAAAAACATTCAATTAGTATACTATTTTTATAATGATTGGGAGAAGTAATTATTAGTTTTTAAACATTCAATTAGTATACATTATAATGATTGGGAGAAGTGATTATTAGTTTTTGGCAATGGCAGGCCCAGTCTTTTCGAAGATACAGAGCTAAATGTGCAAAAAATGGCAGTTTTTGAGAGAATTAAGCGTCCAATTTAAATGATTGAAAGAACTTTCAGCTTGTTTTAACAAAATAATTGAATTTGGAAAAAAAATTGTATCATTTTTTTTTTAGTTTTCTTTTGTATATCGAAAATAATTCAGATTTTATTTTTAATTCTGACTAAAGTTCTAATATACTTAAAACAAATAATTTTAACTTTGCAATTCAGTTTATAAAATTCTTATAAATATTAGACAATGTTACAATATTTATAATAATCAAATGAAAAAATGATAATTGAATGAATAATCAAACAAATGAAAACATTCTGTATTTCTCGAACATTTCGTTACGGTACGGGAAGTTCCAGCAATTTGCCTTAAGGCACGATGCCATACACGCCACTAGTTTCAAATTTATATGATCATATAATATTTAAAATTTGTGAGATACAGAAAATGACTAATGCAAATACGTATAAGTATTCCTAAAAAAAAAATAGTTGAAATTTTTTGTAATGCAAAATTATTGACCACTCTTATTATATCCATGGCGACCAATGTAAACAAGCGTTTGGAAGTTTCATAATAACATTGTAATATACAAGTACTTTTTTATTTATAATAACTGTTAGTTTAGTTCATCATGTCTGTGCTGTGTTTGGGTCCCAGTGGCTCTGGTAAAACATCATTACTGAAAAGACTACAAAATTCCGATTCAATTGATTTTACATCCAATTCCATACCAACAGTCGGAACCAATATCTATACAATTAAAAAGGTTTCTGAATCCAGCAAACCAGCGAAGCAAATAAACATTCGCGAAGTCGGAGGATCGATGGCACCTATTTGGAAGAATTACTTCACCGGAGTCAATAAAATCATGTATGTTGTTGACACGTCTAATTTATGCCAAGTTACGGCCAGCGGTGTGCTGTTTTATAGTATTTTAGCCGATCCTCGATTGAAAGATACCAAAGTAATTTTAGTATTGACTAAAATGGACTTGGCGTATCGACAAATGAGAAATGAGGCACTATTAATGTTGCAATTTAATAGACTACAAAAAGAAATTCCGCAGAAAATTAGTGTAATCGAAGCAAGCGCCATGACTGGGCTGGGTATTGACAATATACAAGAGTGGCTATTTAAATGATTTCAATAACAGTCAATATTTCTATATATTAATATATAAATAAGTGCTACAGTGTACAGCTACATATTTTGATTTTATTTTGTATATAAAATATGCGAATGTGATACGAGAACTAGAATAAAGTAATCTCACTTCAAAAGTTGATGTGAGATTAAAAGCTGTACAGTTGTTACTTATCTCAGTCACTGAAAACTTATTTTTACTTCAAGACATATTTCAGATCTATAATTTCAAGTAAAAATCTGCAGTAATGATTTCAAATTTTTACTTGAAATTATAGATCTGAAATATGTTTTGAAGTAAAATAACTTTTCGGGACACAAATAAAAATGTTCTGATAAGAATCTCATCCAAAATAGAATTTTTGACCATTGGGCATCACTATAGGTCAAGAAGTTACTTCACATTAGAAGTTTGTATGTAATTGTATAAACTATGCTGTAAGTGGAATTCTGTCTTAAAGCAATTAGGGCATCGTGCCTTAAGGCAAAATGCTAGAACTTTCCGTGCCGCAATTCAAAATTCGAGTAATTAAAAATAATCAATAATAATGATCAATAAAAGTTGATCAGTGATTGGAAACTTTTAATAGAATTTCGAACCATATTAAATCATTCTATCTTAAATCATTTATTTTAAAATATTTTGGAAATTCTGAACTTTTTTCAAAGCAATCGTACTGCTTTAACTGCATAAAGACAACGTCTAACGCGTAAACATTGGTACGGAATCCATAGGAATGTGAACAAAATTTATACTTATTGTTAAAATCTCTATAAAATATCTGATAATTTGATGTGCATATGTCTAATGATCATTTTTGACCGCCAATTGGCTTATTTTTTTACTTTTTCCTCCATATCTCCAAAGTCGTTGGACCTGCCTTTCCAAAACTTTGAACAGTTCTTCATTTAGTCAATACAAATAAAATGTTTTTAAAATGAATTATTCAAATCGGACGCTCCGTTCTTTTAAAAACTGAGTTACCGTTTTCGGCACTTTTGCCCCGTATATTCGGAACGTCTAGACCTGCCTTCGCCAAAAACTAATTAGCACGTCTCCTTATCAATACGAATGGAATGTTTTTTTGAATTATTCAAATCGGTTGATCCGTGTTCCCGAAATCGTCAACGAAAATTTGTATCCATACATACACACACACATACATCCATTTTTTCTAAGGCATGCCAAAATGTTCAGAAGGTTTTGAAACGTAAAGATCTATAAAAATTTTCATTTTCGATTTTTTTGCGATTGCTATAACTTGCCCTAAGGGAAGTTAAAAAGCATTGTTTCTTACTACTTGAATCAGTTTTTTTAAATTTTTACCTTACAATTAGTTCGATTATTTAGAACTGAAAAAGCTGAAGCATATATCAGATTGACTAAACGTTATTACGGTAGTAATTTTACTTTTAAATATCAAATCTTTTCATAACGTTTCGGGTCTTCCTCTGATCAGTTAAACAGAGACAAGGGTATGAAACTAACAAAATGTGTTTATTAATATTAAAAATTATGCTGTAAAATTTATATAGTACTAATTTTTCTCTAACTTTTTACAAATTACAACTTCATTAAAAAAAATATGAAATATGTTTTAAAAATAATGTATTTTCAAAAATATTTAGCATTTCTGTATATATATATATATATATATATATATTTCTTTAAATTGATGCACAATTTAACTGCAGAGTGATGAAACATATACCGTGACAAAACGTATGAAATAAATAATTTTAAGAATATTTTTTGTTTTAAATTTGCACAATTTCTAGCATACGTTTTGAATGATAATGACCTAATAATAATTAAAATTTAAAACACAATACCAAAAACTAATTTAAGAATGTTATAAGTTATAAAACAAAATATATAAAATAAAAATTAAAAATACTTAGATAAAACATAATGCACATATGCTCAGCAAATTATCAAGTTAAATTCAAACATATGTTTGAATTTAACATGATAATTTGTTTAAAATTCAGTATTTGTTCATTGTTATATTGTATTAAATTATATTTAAATTCCCATGTAAAATAAAATATTTAGAGTTTTATTGTATGTGAAATATTATGTTGCGAATATATATGTATATTATTTAATAAATTGCATTTATTGAAAAAACGTATCTGTTTCATATGGGTACTATGCATATTAGCATTTTACACATATGCATTTATGTATTTAAGAATGCAAAAGATATATAATATTATATAGAAAAAAGTTTTTATTCGGAAATCCATTCAAGTATAAAAAGTATGTTACTTTTCTTAATAAATCCTGCAGATGTTATCTTTATTTGACCTATCTTCAGTGCAAAATTAGAAAACATAATACAAAATTAATGATATAATGGCAATGGCTATAAACTAGTAGAATAATCACAAAATTTCATTATTCATCGTGAATCACTAATAAATTTTGACAAAAAATATACTTTTATGGCCTTATGATTTTGTATGAACATTCGACTAAAAGCTTCATCCTTATTTAAATTTAAAGATTTAACGATTAATTTTCAACTAAAATCATAAATACTTTAAAAATTTCTAATTTCATACAAATAAATATTACCGTTTGTACCGTTTGTTCATGATTGACCGTTCATATTATTTTTTTAATATCTGATAAAACTCAGAACTATATGCTTGATTCATTCATTCATTTATTGTATATATCCAGAAGTTTACGCGAAAGTCTACTTCATTATTAATATATTTATTTCATATTAAAAATTAGCGCAAAGAATGAAAAGAATTGTTATAAGCATCAAATTGAATTAAATCACTGATGAATAATAAAATTGTTCTCGTAAATTAAATACCTGATGCAGTCAAAAATTCCGAAACAACTTAAATCGTTCATCCGGTTGTTAAAATACTGAATGCTATAATCTTCATAAATTATGATTGATATAAGTAGCAAAATATATTTCTGAGGTCGTATTAATAATTATTTAATAGTTCTAAAATGCCCGCAGGTTATATAAGATCGTGCAAACTCCGCGAAATCTTATCGTTGCAAACTCCTCTTCTTACATTAGATCTGTGTGGACACATATTGTAAGTAGATAGATTTAATAAAAAAAAATTTGATTCTGATAGAAGAGAATAACTTTTTGATAACAATGCTGTTCTTAAATAAACTATTATAAATATTTATTTCAAATTATAAATTTATTTTAGATATCTACCAAAATGAATTTTTATTCTATGGGCATCCTTTGTGGTGCCCTATGTTTTCTTACTGGCTTAAATGCTGAAGAAGCAGCAACTATGTGCAGCAATACCCACGTCGAATCCACTATGACGGATGTTAAACAAAAACTCGAAACATTATACGAGAGACCAGAAAACGAGACAGATTCTGCTATTACCGAATACTCATCATTTTTCGATACTACTGCTCAATCGTTAGAAGAAGCCAAGAAAACTTGCGCTGACCAAAATAACACAAATTTAGCAACATTGTTGCGTCGATTAAAGCAATGTGCTCAATCCTTCTCTAAACGAGGCAAAGAAGGTTGTTCTTCAAAATGTCAGACCTTAGAAGATCAGCATCAATTTAATTATATCATTCGCCAAAAAGTTGTTGATGGTCCCAGTTTTGAGCAGGCTGTGAAATGTGCGAGAGCATTCTCTTCAGCAGAGCAGAAAGCGAGATTGTATCGAGCGCTTTCTTTAGGCGCCACTAAATTTTCGGTTGAAAAAGGTGAAGTACTGTTCAATACAGTTAAAGAAGCTATTTCTGCTGGTAAAGTGCAATTTAGCGATAAAGATAAAGTTTTATTGAAAAATACTCTAAAAACAATAGTTGCTAAAACTTACTTAAACGCTCCAGATAATGCATCCTGCTCATGCTTAATAGGAAAGCTTGCGGAATATGACAAAAATTTGGCTTTTGAATCAGTTGTCGAGTTAGCTCAAGTATTCAATAAAAGCCATAAACATGAAAAGGCAATCACTTTACTTGGACGTGTACCATGCTTGAATGTACAACTGAGAGGATATGTAGCCGTTTTTGATACCCTAGATCATGCTGATGATCCTGAGCAAGCTAAGATTTCCTTAATCTATCCACTTTATCTCGCCATGTCGAGTCCCAAGTACAAAAAAGTTGACGAAGACGTAAAAACAAATGTAGAAAAAATTTATAACGAACTACCGGAATCAGCTCGAAAAGTTTTCGAAAAAGCAGAAACTTGTCTTGCTTATAGTTACTTCTCGCCATCTAATAGTACAGCATCTGGTAACGAGGAAACACTATTTTTAAGAGCAGAAGAACGCGATTATTCAAATTTAAAAGAGCACAAATTTATACCAAAGCAAGATGGCAAAATCATGCAAGTGAAGCATAATGGAGCTAGTCATATATATTTATATTTGCCAGCCGATACTGATTTGAAAGATTTAGATTCATTATTTTCTCATGGAGAAAAGACGCTTGGAGACTGGGAATCTGCTACCGATGGATATTTCTGTGATTTGGATGAAACCAATGAAGCCAAATCAGTTTGTATCTCTCCTTCAGAAGATACAACAAAAGTGAATCAACCTGAGCTATTAGATGAATTCGAAACTAAATATGTCAATGAATATGTCGATAAAAGAAAGGAAAAATGCCCCAAGTAATAAAAATTATATTCTTACAATAACTTAATACATATATTGAAATTTTTGTAACAGTTTATGTGTATGAGTTTAAACAATAAATTATTAAAAATAAGATTTAAAATTATGTTTCTGGAAGATTTATTTTTGATTTATTCACGAGTTGGCATACTTTTAATATGATACGGAGTGATGCTCCAACATGTGTTGTAACATTTTTTGTCTCGGTAATTTCGTGTGCTGGTAAATTTTGAAATTGGTAAAAAATATTGTGAAATATATATTAGTTAATAGTATTTTTTGCGATATAAATGTACAGTAAAATATTTTTTTTATATAATTTGTCCATTGCAAACAATTTGTTGATGAATCTACAATTAGCTGCAAATACGATGTTTCGATTTTATAATTTTTAATCATTTTTGTTCACAAGAATATAAGTTTACTGCATTAAAAGGGAAGCCCGCTTTAGAGGCTTACAAAAAATTGATTTTTTTTTTGCAGAAATGTCTTCCAAAATTAACCAAAAATATATCCCTTAAATTTTAGAAACAAATTCAAATTATTTTTTAAATTACAGAAGATATAATAAAGCAATAATAAGTCAACCATTTATACGAGCGGAGCGAAAACTTCGACGCGCGATTTCTCGGTTTTGAATTTTTTTGATTCTTTCTAATTGGCGGAAAAATAGAAAAAAAACTAAACGTCCTATCGAAATGAAGCAATACTAATTGTATTCCGGATTAAATTTTATTCTAGTTGAACCTAAAAAAACTTAAAAAAAAGGTATAATTAATTAACCCACGTTTCAAACAATCTAATAAAAAAAAACAATTTAGTATCAAAAAAACATGATTTTTTCTTCAAGTTGATAAAAATTGGTAAATTTCTCATTTTTTCCTAGATTTTTTAGATTCAACTAAAATCTATAGTATTGAAAATATATATTTGCTTTGATTTTCGGATGGAAATTGTGACCAGCATCTTTTCCGCCAAATATGAAAGCTGCGCGATAGTGGCGCATCGGCAAAATGCTTGTACCCGGCATATTATGACATATATTTTAATGAAAAAAATTGAGAAGAATGTTAAAATATATAACAACAAAACCTTTTCGATTCAATTAAATATTTTTTTCTTTTCCTAAAAATTTCTCGATAAAAGCGATTTTTTATGCCTCTAAAGCAGACTCCCCTCTTAATAGAATAAACTTACCAAGATTTTTGAAAAAAATTAAAAAATTTCCCCAATCTGTATGGTAGTACCTAAAGCATAGGGTTTAAAGCCTATCTTATAAGTTAATGTCTACTAAGGACTGTTGAAAATTATCTGGTGAAATGAAAAAAAAACTATTAACTGCAGTCAAATACATTAATTGGTTTTAAATATACTCAGCATGTTTTATACTTTCGCGTTTGTTGTATTTTATTCTAAAATGTAAGTTTTTAGATTAAAAATTAGAAAATATTAGCATTTTACTATGATTTGTATTTATTTAGCATCTAAATATGAATTCCATTGATTTTGATATAAAACATGAAGTTGTACTTCATATTCAAAACTTCAATAATATGTACATAAAATTATTCTATTTAGAGTTCGATTTCGAAAATGCCAATATAAACAATTTGGAATATACAAACTTTAACTCTTTCACCTAAGTGAACAAACGCACTCAGTGAGGCACATGCTATTTTATAAACAATGACTCAGTTTGCATCGAAACTCGAAACGTTGAATAAATTACATATAGCAGTGATAAACAGCGTTGTATTTTGAAAATAATTTTAAGTTATTTTAGTAGTATTGTTAGCCTTTTTCTTTGCTATATAGTCTTTTTAGCTTCCGGTAGGGTAGTTATAGTAATGCGCCGAAAATCGAAAATGAAAATTTTTGCATTCTCGACGTTTTGAAGGTTTCTGAACATTTTTGGCATACCTCAGGTATTTACGCAAAAAATGGATGTGTGTGTTTTGAATATGTCCGCATTTTTTCGTCCACGTTTTCGGGCGCACGGATCAACCGATTTGAATGGATTAAAAAATATTCGATTCCTATTGATAGGAAGATGTGCTGATTAGTTTTTGGCAAAGGCAGGTCCAGCTGTTACGGAGCAGAAAATACGGTGCAGAAAATACAAATCGAGTTTTTAAGAAAATTTCTCAAATGTATAACTAATGGTGTAATAAATGCAAAAATTGTGTAAATATTTTTTTTTATATTACCATCAATGAACCATAAAACTAAGATAAGGCCTCAAATAATTTAGAAAGATAACTAGTGGGGTATAGCATCGTGCCTTAAGGCAAATTGCTGAAACTTCGCGTATCATAACAAAATGTTCGAGGAATATTGAATGTTTTCAAATAGATTATTATAAATATTGTAATATTGTCTAATATTTAAAAGAATTATATAAACTGAATTGCAAAGTTGAAATTATTTGTTTAAAGTATATTAGAACTTCAGTCAAAAGTAAAAATCAAATCTGAATTATTTTCGATATACAAAAAAACTCTTTTTTCCAAAATCAATTATTTTGTTAAAACAAGCAAAAAGTTCTTTGAATCACTTGAATCGGACGCTTAGTTCTTTCAAAAACTGCAATTTTCTGCACATTTAGCTCTGTTTCTTCGAAATAGCTAGGCCTGCCTTTGCCAAAAACTAATAACCACTTTTCCCAATCATTACTCATTGAATGTTTTCTAGATCATTCAAATCGGATGCTCCGTTCTCTCAAAAACTCGATTTCTATTTTCTGCACTCTTTACTCTCTATCTCCGTAACTGTTGATCCTGACTTTGCCAACAATTAATCAGCACATCTCCCTATCAATAGGAATTGAATGATTTTTGAACCATTCAAATCGGTTGATCCGTGCGCCCGAAAACGTGAACGGAAAAATACGGACACACAAAACACACACACACATCCACACACACACACACACATCCATTTTTCCCGAGGTATGCCAAAATGTTCAGAAACCTTCAAAACGTCGAGAAATGCAAAAATTTTCAATTTCGATTTTTATGTTATACCTTACGGGAAGTTAAAAATTAGCAGTTCCATCTCATATTGTTTTACTGGAAAAAGTTCAGGTCCTGCCGTTGATAAATTTAATATATTTGATTTGGGTCTCGTTTTGCCAAATAACAAAAAGATTCAGAAGACTGAATATCTATTAAAATAATATAGCCGTTTAATTATATTAAACAATAAAGAATAATTTAATTTTGACCTAATTGTAAATATTAGCTATTGCGGAATGCTTAAGTGATCAAATGCTTTTTATTACCAACATTGTTTTATTATAGGCAACTGTCTATTATTATTTAATTTTAGCTGTATTGAATTAGAAAAAAACTTGTCGCAATTTTAATATTCTGAAAGAACATTTTTAGATATGAATTTAAAAGAACATAATTTAGACAGCAAACCCATGTAATAAATTACTATAAATACTAATTTATAGATTGACCTATTTTGTAGATTTTGTTCAAATACCTATTTTCAAGAAATTGTTTCGATAATACATTGATATATGAAACGTTTTGAATTTTATACAGATTATGCAAAAGCAATGAATGAACTATATCCCGGAGGTACAAACTATTAACCGATGAGGAATTGTAATTATTAAAATAACATTTGAACTTTAATTACAATTCAAT